GCCGTCCCGCCACCGCGCATCCCCATCCGCATCCCCAGAGCCATCCCGCCACGGCGCATCCCTTGCCCCATCCCCAGAGCTGTCCCGCCACCACGCATCCCCTGCCCCATCCCCAGAGCTGTCCCGCCACGGCGCATCCCCAGCCCCATTCCCAGAGCCAGCCGCCATGCATCCTCAGCCCCATCCACAGAGCCGTCCTGCCACCGCGCATCCCCAGCCCCATCCCCAGAGCCGTCCCGCCACTGCACATCCCCAGCCCCATCCCCAGAGCCGTCCCGCCACTGCGCATCCCCATCCCCAGAGCCGTCCCGCCACCGCGCATCCGCATCCCCAGAGCCGTCCCACCACCGCGCATCCCCATCCCCATCCACAGAGCCGTCCTGCCACTGCGCATCCCCCGCCCCGTCCACAGAGTCATTCCGCCACCGCGCATCCCCATCCCCATCCCCATCCCCAGAGCCGTCCCACCAGCGCGCATCCCCAGCCCCATCCCCAGAGCCATCCCGCCGCAGTGGGTCCCCACCCTCAGTCCCAGAGCCGGGCGTCACTGTGCATCCACATCACAGCCCCATCCACAGAGCCATCCCGCCACAGTCCGTCCCCATCCTCAGCCCGAGCCAGCCGTACTGCCACTACTCATCCCCATCCCCATCCATAGAGCCGTCCCGCTGCCGTGTGTCCTCACCCCCATCCCCAGAGCAGCCGCCACCGTGCATCCCCGTCCCCACCCCCAGAGCAAGCCAGCCCACCGCTGTGTGTCTCCAGCCCCCGTCCCCAGAGCCAGCTGTCCTGCCGCCATGCATCCTCACTCCCGTCCCCAGAACCAGCCAGAGCCAGCTGTCCCACCGTCATGCAGCCCCCTCTGCATCCCGCTGTCGTGCGGCCCCATCATCAGGACATGGAGCTGCCGCGGCTCACCTGAGATGTCTGAGAACTCCTCTGCACTGAAGCTCTGCTCCCCCTCCCTGGGGACACTGATGAAGGCCTGCATGGCCGGGGACAGCACAATGGCCCCAGTGCTGGCCTGGCGCAGCAGCGCCTCCAGGTACCTGCATGGAGCCAAAGAGCATCCACTTACACCGGACAGCCAGGCCCAGCACTGTTCTCCCAGCCTGCTCCTAGTCTGCCCTGCCAGAGCCCAAACTCCCTTGGACTGGTGTGTGAGCATGGGATGGGATTGAGGGGCACTGGCAGAGCTGGGGGGACCCCAGAGCTGGGATAGCAGAGGGCTGTGGGGCAGGACACCTGACAGGGGTTTGTCCAACCAGTTCCTACAAACCTCCAGTGATGGGGATTCCACAACCCCCTCGGAGCCTGCTCCAGAGCCCAGCGACCCGAAGAGTCAGGAAGCTTTTCCCACTATCTATCCAAGAGCTCCCTGGCTGCAAACAGCAGATTCCTTCATGTCCCATCAATGCACATGGAAAACAACTGGGCATCGGCCTTCTTCAGAACAGCCCTGACCGTAGCTAAAGACTGTTGTCAAGTCCTGCCTTGGCCTTCTCTGCTCTACACTCGACATGCCCAAGACTTTCAACCTTTCCTCATAGGTCAGCTTTTCCCACTTCCCCCATCCCTTCAGGCATCTCCCGGGCTCTCCTGCCCCACGGCTCAGGGCTACCCAGGGCTCTCTCCTGCCTGGTGGCCCGGGCCAGGCTGCCCTCAGCCCAGGCACCCACCAGTTGGTGTAGATGGTGGTGAGGGTCTGCTCCCCGCTGGAGTCCAGGGGCTGTGTCTGCTGAAGCAGGACG